ATGTAAAGGTACAATTCCCAATGAGAAATGTAATTGTGTTGTATACCTACAATGTACCAATAAAAGAATTTAATAAAAATAAAAATTAAAAAATGTATTCTCACCTGTTTGCTATTGCAAGCAACCTCTCCTCAGTTGCAGTTCAGGTTGCATGCATACTGATACTTACGTCTTCATTTTCTGTGAATGTATCATGACAGTGGGCATGATATGAGATGAAGGGGAGGCCACTGGATTCTCTTAAAGATATGGAGCCAACCATCAGTGACTGTAAAAGGTCCCTCCTTAGGGTAGTGTGAGACGCAGTTCCTTATTGGGTGAGACAATATATTACTTAATGGGACCTGCACCCAGGAACATGCAAACACATCACAACCAGTTCACTTTTTTTGTTCAACAAGACAGAAGCTGAGAGCGTAGCTCAGTGGTAGACCACTTTCTTACACCCACAAGGTCTAAATGAATGAATGAATGAATGAATGCATATAAGTAAAAAAAGCAGAGTGTGCTATGCGTAGTGCAGAATTCCAGTTCCATAGGTTCGAGCACAGTAATCAACCCTCCCCTGGAGGCTGCCCTGGAGGGAAGATAGCTTGCAATCTGGGAGGGCACCACAATGCATAGCCCTCAGCAGTTCAGTGTCACCTCAGATGTTCTAAAAGCCCATCTTGGAAGCACAACAGGGCTTTTGTAGACACTCTGCCCCGGCGCTGAGCAGCCAGACCATGCTGCTCCTAGGATGGCCTTACTCCATGTGTCTGAACAAGTTATGACTCCAAGGTGAGACTCCCTCCAACCCCGACTTCTCCCCTGGCTGTGGAAACAGCTGGCGGAGATATGGCCCATCCAGGTGTCTGCAAGGTGATTTATAATGTGGATTTAAGCAGCCTGGAGGTATTTTATTAATCAAAATGCCAGACAATCTAAGGATAATTTATTTGCAACAGAACCCAACATTTTCAATTTTTTAAATAAGCATTTCAGATGCTGACTCTGGATTTCTAGTTAGAAGATAATATTAGGAAGAACTATTATGGATAACATTAATATTCATATAAATATCAGGGGATAATGCTAAACAGTTTGTTCTGCTTTATTTTTTTTTTAGACCAAGATTACAGTTTCAATCTATGCACCGCTCAAAAATTCCAAGCAGATTCTATTAAACAGAAACAAGTACTATTATTCTTACTTTGGATCTGGGAAAAATGAATATTTCAAATGGCATATTCACAGGTAATCAATGAGTCAGATTTTTGATTGTTTGTTTTTCTCTTTTTGAAACATCTCCTGCATGCTTTGAATTGCAAAGTCCTTTCACAAATGCTGTCTCCTCTGACCTCATCTTCAGAACATTTCTGGGTAATAGATATTATTATTTCCATTTACCCCGGAGGAAATCAAGACTGGCTGACTCACCCACATCCAGCAGCTATCACAGTAAGTTCCAGAAACAGTTTTCAAGCTGAGCTCTCTCTGCCTGCCTGTCTTTCACTCTGTCAGATCATTCTGCTCTTTTGCTTATTTCTTCATTGATTCCCTAGATCAACACACTTCTCTGTGTGTCTATCTGTTATGTTCCCATCCTTGGGCTAAACATTGGGAATCCAGAGGCAAAATCATGGTGTCTTCCCTTGAGGAGTGCCCAGTCTGATGGGGGTCAAATCGATATGCCGAGACACTTGAGAATAGCTTTAGACTGGAAACTGCCACTCAGTGCATGCTCACTGAGCACTTCAATGTACCTGATACTCTGAGAAAGACCAGACAAAAGGATAAAAGACAAGATCCAGTCCTTTCCTCTAGAATCCAAGTCTAGCTGGCAAGGAGCATGGAGAGTCTAATATTGCAAACTCAGCTGTGCAAGAACTATATCTGTCTGCAGAAGTCAGCTTAACTGTTTTAGCTCGGTTGTGCTGAAGCAGAGGAAACAATCTCAGCCAGGGGTGTCAAGGTAGGGTGCTTGAAAGTCCTTGGTGCTAGATACACATAGGTGAAAGCAGGGACATCTTTATTCCTGGCCACATGACCCCTTTCTGCTGCCTCCATATCACTGGAGAGCGGGGATGATTTCTTCTCCTTCTGAGAGGGGCTGAAGGGTGCCAAGGACAGGGTTCTTAAGGAGATTGATTTTCTGTCTTCATAGAAGCACCGCTTTCCTCCTCTTTGTGGGGAGCAGCTGCAGTCTGTATCCTCTGCTTGGAAACCCACACAGATGTAACTTCTCCTCCTTTTCCTTTTACCCTTCTTTGTTTGCAAACTTCCTTCCTATTGCTCGATGTTTCTCTCAGAGGACTCTATCTCGATCTCCTTAACTAACCTATGTTTGGAGAGTAAATGTCAAGAAGACTGGCAAGTCATTTACATTTTGTTTTTTTACCCTTGACAATGCCCCCAGACAGTGAACACTGCCAGCCTCCAGTGTGACAGAGGGAGAACTTATGAGTGAAGGAAAGAAAGGTAAGAAAACAGAGATCAGCGTCTAGAGCACTCTCCGGTGACACACAAATAACAATGCATCATAGCTAGATGTACCTACCATATTTCCTCGAAAATAAGACTGGGTCTTACATTAATTTTTTCTCCTAAAGACTCAATGGGGCTTATTTTCAGGGGATGCCTTATTTTTTCATGTACGATAATTACATTTATTCATGTACAAAAATTTACATTTATTCAAATCAGTTTTGTCATCTTCTTTTGGAATATCAACATAACTCTCAAACCCCCAAATTCCAGCCTGAATTTCTTGCAACCTCATTTCCTGTAGAACCACTGACCACAATTTCTCATGTCCAGCAATAGAGCTCTCCATAAATGTGTGCTTCTCGTCCATGTAGCCTGCTCGTAGTGCATTGACAACACAGTTGTAGTGATTTTATCCCATGAATTCTTCTCCAAAGTCATGACTTCTTGAAGGCTGGGCTTCAGAGTTTCCATTAAATCCAGTGTTAATTAAAGACTTATGAAACAGGAATGGCAACAAAAACGAGCACATTTAAGAATGATGGTCCACACAAAAGCAATGAAAAATTACAGGCATCAAAATTCAGAAAACATTTCTTTATTTCACATGAGTGCATTAAGTATGTCTATGTATTGAATTATGAAGAGTCATCTTAGACACAGCCACATCCATTTGTTATCAAGAGTGCACGTTATTCATTCCTTGTGTTTGTACTCCAATTGTACTCATTCGGCAGTAAGTCTCAAGTTCATCTGATTACAGAGGCATTTACCTCTCGTCCAAAGGCACCTGCTTGGGTATTTACAAATGCTTAAGTATAATTTATATTATCATTTATTTTAAGCATTAATGTCAATAATATGATTTATTTGTATTTAATTGTATATTAAGATAATTATTTTCTAACTCAGTAAGTCCATCGTGTGTTGCAAGATACATGTTAAGTTCATCCATCTGGATGACAATCTTAATTGGGGCTTACTTTTAGAGTAAGGCTTATATTACAAGCATGCTGAAAAATTATGCTAGGGCTTATTTTCTGGTTAGGTCTTATTTTGGGAGAAATATGCTAGGAAATATAAGGAGTCCTAGGTTACAGATGAATCTCACAGAAGAGGAAACTCTCATCTCCAGAAGCAGCAGAGGAGTGTAGGAAATGACAAGGAGTTTCCCAGACAAGCAAGGGGGAGAAAGTGATCCAGAGAGAAGGAAAATCTCAAAGGAGCAAGAACCACAGCCCTAGGACCTGCAGAAGGACCTGCAGAAGGCCCAGCGCAGGACGTGGGAGCACAGGGGAGGGGTGAGTCAATGCTGGGAAACAGGTAAACTGAGAAGGAGTGGGCAACACCTGGGGCTTTTAGTGACAGATCATGGGCTTCCCAGGTCAGCCACTATCTCCACCTGACCGAGAACAAAGTGCAAGACAACTCCCAGGTCAGGGAGAGGCAGTGACATGCCAGGATCAGTGATTTCTAAAGAAATGGCACTTGGCATTTGGGAGAGGAGTCTCACTAGGATTCCAGCAGGGCCTTGCCGGATGTGTGCCCGCCAATGTCTCCCTGCCGTAGCCAGAGAAGATCAAGGCTAGTCCACAGGACACAGCATCAGGTCAAGGCAGTCTGCTTTACACACAAGGCCCTTCTTTACACACAGCTTGCTTGGTTAAAGAGGAAGTTAAAGAGGGGAGTAGGCAATGGGGTCAAGAAAATCCAACAAAATAAAAGATTGAGAACAGCGCCTGGCAGACATGGAGCACAAGACCACTCTGACAATGACCCGCTGTAGGACCTAGAGCACAAATCATGGGATAGTCTCTGTAGGTTCGCCCTTGGGGGTGCTGTGGTGCAGTCAAGGCACTGGGGCAGGAGCCTGGCCCACACCCAGGCACACCAAGGACCAGGGAGAGTGACCAGCATGGTTGCTGTGTTGCCCCTGCCTGGTCCTCCCTCGACCCTACTGAGCTCTGTGATTCCTGGAAAAGGCCTTGCTCCAGTCTCACTTTCAGGTTATCAGTGTGCCAGCTCCTTTCCTACACCCCCACTGGCTCACCCTTGGAACTGCAGATCAGACATCACCAGCTCAGTCTGAGTTACTGTGGCTCCTGGATCTTTTCTCCATCCATCCCTATTGTCCCACTTACTGTACTGCATGGTAATTGTCTTGCTTTTTAATGTGTCTATCTTCCCTGTAGACTCTGTCTTACTGGTAGCAGAGATGACTTACTCCTATTATAGCCGCCGTGTACAGGTGTGGTCTGTGGGCCGCCTAAGCGTGTCATGTGCAGTGTCCTCTATGCTCAGCCCAGCTGGCCACTCCCACCCACAGACACAGAAATCGAAACCTGCCCCACTCACACAGCCAGCCCTGGATGAGGCTTGGAGTCATGGTCATGCTCTGTGGACTGCAAATCTGTTCTATATTATGTAGTTTTTATTAATGTGCATCAATTGCACAGAATAGTAAGGTTCAGTGAGCTACTTCAGCACGTGCTCACAATGTGCACTGATCAAATCCAGCCCTTCTCTCTCTGCCCTGCCAGGCCCTCTGCCTCCCAGCAAAGTTAGCACTATCCTGCATTCAGGTCAACTGGTGTCTAAGCTTCCACATATGAGAGAAAATGTGTAGTGTTTGTCTTTCTGTGTCTCTTTTGTTGTTGTTGTTGTTGTTTTGCCATGAAGCTGTTCCCTTCTGTGGGGCTCAGAAGCTGCCAAGGGCATGTGTTTCTGAGCTAATTAACAGGCAAGACACAAGGTGGGTCTAAAAACCTCTCAGGGTTGATGGTAGTGTGGACAGAGCTGGAGCTGGGTAGGCTCCACCTGGGAGCCAGGCTGACACCTAGGAGAAGGGCTGCTCATGCCGCTGGGTTGGGCTTGAGAGGAAGGTTCTCCTTTGCTCCCCATTCCCAGCAGGTGTGTGGCCAGGAGATTGCTAGTCCAGGGGACCAGGATCCAAGTCAGGGGTGAATCCCAGGGCTCATCCTGTGATGTTGACATTCTGGAACCCTTGTCAGGGAGCTTAGGAGCCCTTAGATCAGGCCTAGATCTGAACTTTACAAGAGTTCTAGTCCTTGGGAAACTGCTGAGGCACTGACACTGGGCTGAAGTCCTCATGTCCTCATCTCTCCCTCTGTGCACAGACTCCTATCCACCCATGCATCAAGCAGTTACCAAGTACCTCCTCCATCTCAGGACCTGTATCTGGTCCTGGAGTAGAGGAACCAGCAAGATACACAGTTCCTGCCCTACACAATCCACAGCTGGTGAGAGACATAGCAAAGAAAAACATTAAAACAATATGGTGGAGTTGGAGAAGTTGGAGTTGGAGAAGTTGGAGTTGGAGAAACAGAGACGCAGGGGTGAGTGGGATCCAGGAGTCCATCACAGTGGAAGCTGGATGTGCTCCGACAATGGGGGACACTGAGGCTGTGCCTGGTGGGCACGAGTATGGCTCTCACACTGGTGAGCTGGGCACTCAGTAAGCAGAGCAAGGATCTCAGAAGTGGCTCTGAAGACTGCAGGGTCCGTTTCCACCTGCCCAGAGCTTGCTTTCTCTCTCTAGCCTGGATCAAAATACCCTCAGTGCAGCCCTCTCTCCACAGAAGCCTGCTTCACCTCGCACAGATCCTTAACTTTTTCTGTGCCATGACCTTCTTGGCTGGTCTCGTGAGACCTATGGGCTCTTTCCCGCAAGAATGTGTGCAATTTTTTGGTTTTTTAATGTCATTTTTAGATTTATAGAAGAATCACAAAAACAGTGAAAGAGTTCATATACACTCTTCATGAGCCTCTAACTATGTTAACCTCTAACTAAGCATATTTATCAACACTAAAGCATTGCAATTGGTGGAATAAAGCCTTTAGTACAGCAAATAAATAAGAAGAACTAAAAAAAATAAGCCAAATGTGTTAAAAGGTTATTACAGAAATACCAAAAAAGAACATGAAGAATAGGTGACATTGTGACCTGTGTGCTTCTTTATTAATCTGTCAAAAATAAGAAAGTATATTTATAACACAGAAAAGTTAAACTTTACTTTTCAAAGATGTAATGTGAAATTGGTTGAGACAGCTAGAATTGAACAGTGATCATGGTGTGGTTTGGGACTTATTTCTTTCCCTTATTAATCAGCAGCAAGATAGATAGGGAATTTGAGAGGCATGGATGGATGTCTAGGTCACCCTTTGACAATGACCCAGCTACAGGACCTCACCCTTTGGTGGCTACATTTCTGTTCAGGTGCAGAGTGGCTCTGTGATGGATCAGCTGTTTTGCACAGCAGGAAGACTGAGATCCAGCAGAGGGTTTAATAATCACCTTAATTTCTAAGGAGAGGTGAATGTAAATTATTTCTCAAGAACTGCAAAACTGATTGGCATATTTCTGCTATTTCCATGGTTTCTTCTAGAGGATAACTTTACAGATATTGATAATATGGTTTATAGCCTGTATTCATAATAAAGGAAAATGCTAATTTTAAGTTAGAGGTCAGTGAAAATAAACATAATTTGTTTTCCAACCAAGCTCACATATCCCTTTATTTCTACCCAGACTCTAGGTAGAATGAAGTAGCCTCTAGCTTGGATTGAACCCCAAAAATCTTTTGTTTAAGCTACAATTATAACAAGTGAGTTAACATCTTAAAATGCAAATATTTCTTGTAAATATCTGAATTTCAACTTCTCTAGAAAAATTTGAAATCTTGGGTCACTGGGCTTGATATGTGGCCAGGTCCAGGTGGGCAGGCCTGAGTCCTTACTTCCTTTCCCTCCTCAGACCCAATAAGGGTCAGCTGTCATTGACCATCTTCCCTTCACTGTGACAACTTTTAAACTCCTGCCTCAGCTTAAGATTTTGTCTTACTTCTCTGGTTGCATGTATGCAGACTCTTGTCTGAGCTTTTGGAGGAGAAGAAGGAGCTTATGCTCTGAAACCTCTTCTGCATCAGGCACAGCCCTGGTGGATGGACACATGGCTTCTCGCTGAGTGACAGTCC